TGATTTGATTGAAGAAAGCTTCAACATGGTGTCTGTATGTTGACACAGTCATTTTTGTCATGGGTGGGAGCTGCTTTCCTACAGAAGTGCAGGAGCCCTGCGTGACACTGGTGGAATCCAGGTAAAGGAGCTTGTGCTCAACCATAATTTCTTAAAATACATATTTTGATTTGTACCAAAGAGCTTTCATCTTCTCCTCCTTTGTAAACATCACACAGCCTTTGAGCCTGTTTGTATTGGCTTTCACTGAACTGCCCTGGGTTTTATCAGCCCAGAGACATTCCCTCCAGGACTCCTCCGGGTGCCACCTCCACAGCAGTAATCAGGGCAACGCTTAATTAGAGGCAAAAACTTCCAGAAAGGGCAACTCCATCCCTTTTTACGGTAAAATAAACACATTTCCAAAAGGGGCCTTTCCTTTAATTAAATTCTCTGCAATGTGGCAGCTGCTTGGGAGGTATTTTTGCATATTTGAGTTTAAGAAGATGTATGTACATAGAGGTGATGTCACATTTGGAATGATGCGTGTTTATGAGACCAAGTTTACGAGTTTACTAACTTGCAAGCCAGCTATCTTCATACCAGAAGGAGACAAGGCAGCGTCCAAGCTGGGCCTTCCCACAACCAGTCATCTCGTAAAAACAGGCGAGGTGGGCCTCGGGAGAGACACAAATGTCTAGGGCGCGACACAGAAACTGAACAGGAATGTGGGGATGGATGCTGCCGGCCCCTGGCGCTCAGAGTGAAGCCCCATCATGGAGCTGGGGCCCAGGGAGCTTACGGATTTACGCCAGAGGTTATCCAGGATAGACGTGTTCAGCCTGGGCATGCAATCAAAGCCCACACGGGCCCCTCAGGGAGGGTCTTTCCCTCCTGCTGGGAGGCAGGGTCCCCAGCGCCCCCTGACCTCGGCCTTGCAATTGTGCAAACCTCAGGGCGGTTTATCCCAGACTCCGCTCCGGTGCTACAGTGTCAAGAAGACCCTTTTAGGGGGGTCAGTATGGGTCTTCTAATTTAACCCTCTCCTCTGCCACAGCCACCAAAGCCAGACCCATCCCTGCCAAGCTCCTACAGAGGCGCTCACGTGGCCTTCGAGAGGATTCACCAAGGCCACCTGTGTCACAGCCGGGGACAGCTCCCTCCCACCCAAGAAAGCTCAAAGGCAAAACCTGCGCCAGAAGGGGTCCCTCCGCCGCCCGTGGTGCTGCAGTGCGCAGGCTGTACCCTGACTGGCAGAGCCCAGGGGCTTCCAGTGGCGCGGCCTGGGAGGGAAGGGGTCCAGCCCGTCGGGGCCTCCGGGACAGCTCTCCTGGGATGCTCAGGGCCGCGCACAGTCACACCCTGGCACACTGGTGCCCACGCCCCCTGAGGATGAGGGGATGGAGGGTAGGGGGCTGACGGGGGTGGGAGAGGCAGAGAGGCGGACAGCAGGGAGGGCACTTGCCTTGGAGGGAGGAGGGGCACTTGCCCATCCAACAGCCCCAAAGTGCAAATGCAGGCACCGGGACCCTCTCGGTGACCCAGGACATGCTCAAGTCACCTTCTTCCTGGGACACACACACACACACACACACACACACCTAAATTCAAAACTATCCCAGGCCGTTTGGGGTGCAAGGCTTGCTCTCCCCAGGGGCTGTGTCCTTGCACGAGGGCTCCAAGCTCAGGACAGGTGGGGTCAGATGGGGACTGAGGCACAGCAGCACATGGGGTCCATGCAGGCCTGGGGGCAGGCGCATGGGGCGACCGCAGAGCACCAGGACAGACGGTTCGTGTCAGTGTTCCCTGGAGACCCCTCCAAGAGCCCCTCCTGGACGCCTGTGCCGCTGCACAGCCATGTTTGTCCTCTTCAGGTGGAAACAGGGCCAATCTGATACTTCCCAGTCCACCCCATGCACCCCCAGCCCCTGCACGCATGCAGGTGGGCACTGCCCACCCTGTCTCCTTCCCCTGCAGCATCACCTGCCATCTGCACTGGCACCTGCTGCTGCTCTCCAAGTACACGTGGGGACGCTCACTTGTGGGGACGCTCACTTGTGGGCGCAGGAGAAGGATCTGGAGGACCAGGAAGAGGGAGGCCGGGCCCTTTTCTGCGTCATCAGAGACCTGTGCCTCCTGTATCACACCCAGTAGAGACAGCCCTGGATTTTAGAGCCAGTAACGCCTTGAGTCACTGTGAAAAGCTCTGTCCCATTCCTGCAGAGACCCTCCCTCTTCTGCCTAGTTTGGGCATCCAGATCCGAGGGCATGCTGGGACCAGAGCATCTGACTCCCGGGACGCCTCGTGACCCCAAGAAAGGAGCATAAATGTGGCCTAGCAAGAATGCCCTTCTCACCCTCCGCAAGCGTCACCGGTGAGGGGGACACGCAGGGCACACTGCCGAAACAGAATCTGAGAACACAAAAAACAATACAAGGCTTATTTCTTAGCATGTTGAGTGGAGAGAAGGTCAAAACAAAACAAAAAACTGAAGTAAATGCGTTTCGCAACGGGAGGAGGAAGGGGCTTTGTGAGTGCCCGAGGGGAATCTAATTAGAGACTCAACCAGAGCTCTGCAAATGAATTATTTACAATTCTTCAGAGGGAAATGATTATAATAGTAACCTTTACAATGCCAAAATTAAGCTTATTATGCTCTTTTCGTCCGCCCCAGAAATTCTCTGAAGTCTGTCATCAGGAGAGATGCAGGGAGCCAGCCCTGCCGCCCGCTCGGGGCAGCGCTTGGGGCCAGCCTCGGGCCCTGGCTCGGCCAGAGTCGCAGAGGTGGCGAGCCGGGCGTTTGAAAGGGAAAGCCAGCAAGCGCGTCCCTCTGCCCTTTGTTTCTGTCTCCTGACTTGAGGATGCTCCCGGTCAGGCTTGAGGAGTTGTGAGGCTCCAAGAAGAAATCCCAGCATCTGCTCCTAGGGCGGGCAGGCCCCGGAACTGCTGAATTTAAAATAAGCTGTGTGAACGGAATGAGAAGAGGGTGGGAAGGCTATAAAAATTGGACTCCAAGCAGGAGATTCATCATGGCCTCCTCAGCACGTGCGGCTCATGTTGGAAATGGAGGGTCAGTCTGTTTAGAAATCAGCATATCCCAGGGGCTAAGCGGCTGATGCTGGTCCTCACAGATCCCCCACAGGGGTGCAAAGGGTAAATGCTACACCTCAGCACCCCTCTTCAGGCCCTGCATGGTTGTCCTTCGATTTCATTAACTTTCTCCTCCACGTGGGCCAGGCCTCCGCCCAACCCTTTCCTGCCTCAGCTCCCCCAGGGCACAGCTGCAGCTGGGCTGACTCTGCAGGTTCTTTGGCACTGCGGTGCCCACGTCTGGTCACTGCACCCAAGCCCGCATCCCAACTCCACACCACACCTGTCGTGGGTGAATGGTGGCCCCACAAAAGATACGCCCACGTCCCAACACCTGTGAATGTTTCCTTATTTGGAGCAAGGACCTTTACGATGTGATAACATGAAGGATGTTCAGATGACATGATCCCAGGTGATCTGGGAAGATCCTAAGCAGCCAATGACAGATGTCCTCCTAAGAGACAAGGAGAAGACACGGGAAGAGGAAAGGGCCATGCCGGTGCGGAGATGGAGGCAGAGACGGAGAAGAGGTTGGAGCCACCAGAGGGTGGAAGAGACGAGAGTATTCTCCACGAGACCCTTTGGGGAAGCACAGCCCTGACACACCTTCATTTGGGACCTCTGTCCCCCAGAGCTGAAGAGAGCAAGTTCCTGTTGCTGAAGGCACCCAGGTCATCGTCCTTTGTGGCAGCCCCAGTCCCGTCAGCCTTCCCCAGTGATCTGTCCCCATCTGTCTCTGCCACCCGCCTCCCTCCCTGAGAACACGGTGGTGGGCGGTCACGCCCTGCCCCACCTGCTCACTCACACAGCCTCATCCTTGGCCCATCTGTAAACTGGTACCTGCTTGAGCAGGACCCTGGCTGCAAGTGCTGGAATCCGACTGCACTCAGTGTCAGCCAGAACAGCCTGATGGGCTCGGGGCCCAGCAAGGGCAGGGAGGCCCACAGCAGGAGACGCGGGGCCCTCTTGCCAGTTGCAGCCAGAAAACACAGGAGGGCCTGTGATGAGCTCTAGCTAGGTCGGGTGTGCAGCCACGTCTCATCGCTGGGGCATTCCCTGGGACAATACGGACGGCTCAGCCTTGGACCAGGTTGTGCAGGCAGCTCCGGGCTACCAAGCAGGAGGGAGCAGCAAAGACATGGAGGTAGGCTGTGCTAGTGAGGACTCTCCGGAGTGCAGAACCAACAGAATGTATGCCAGGGAGCTCAGCAGCGAGAACTGGCTCATAGGATTACAAGGCAAAGCCCCACAGTGGGCTGTCGGCAGACTTGGAAAAGAGGGAAGCCAGTGGTGTGGCCCAGTCTGAGCCCAAAAGTCTCAAAGCCAGGGAAGCTGGCGGTGCAGCCCTCAGCCTGCGGTCAAAGGCCCGAGAGCCCCCGGGAGGCTACTGGTGCAAGCCCCAGCGTCCAAAGGCTGGAGAGCCTGGAGTCTGATGTCCAAAGGCAGGAGGAGAAGACGCAAGCAGCAGGCGTGGGAAGAGAATGCAGACTCAGTCAGTGCGTATCCCCCTTCTTCCGCCTGCTTTGTACCAGCTGCACCGGAAGCCGATTGGATGGTGCCCACCCACACTGAGGGTGGGTCTTCCCCTCCCAGTCCACCGACTAGAATGTCAGCCCCAGCCAGCATTACCCTCACAGACACACCCAGGAACAACGCTTCCCACAGATCTAGGCATTCCTCAATCCAGTCAAGTTGACACTATTAACCATCATGTGGATGAAAAAGATCCAAACCCTATAAAGTATTTGAAGAGATTTATTTCCAGCCAAATGTGAGGACCATGACCCGTCATGTGGCCACAGGAGGTCCTGAGAACATGTGTCCAAGGTGGTTGGCTTGCAACGCGGTTGTGTATGTTTTAGGGAGACAGAAGACATCACCCAAGTATGTGAGGCGTGCTTGGTTCAGTCCAGAAAGTCGAACAACATGGAGTGAAGTGGGGGCTTACAGATCACAAGCGGATTCAAAGATTTTCTGATTGGCGATTGGTTAAAAAGTTTCAGTTATCATCCAGAGAGCTGGAATCAATAGAAAGGAATGCCTGGGTTAAGATAAGGGGTTGTGGAAACCAAGGTTTTTATTATATAGATGAGGTCTCTTAGATGGCTACCCCTGGAGGCAATGGAGACCTTTAGAAGGTTTTAGATTCTCAGTTAATCTCTTTAGGAGCAGAAAACAAAGACCAGAAAAAAGAGGAGAATTATTCCATCACAAGAGACAGCTTTGCAGGGCCATTTCAAAATATGTAATATAAATACATTTTGGGATAAAATACTTTGATATTTCTTTAGAACCTGCTGTCATTTGATGCTACGCTAAAGCCAGGTTGGAATTTGATATCTTTTTTTTTTTTTTTTTTTTTTGAGACAAAGTCTCATTTTGTTGTTCAGGCGGGTGGGCTGCGGTGGCGCGATCTCAGCTCACTGCAACCTCCACCTCCCTGGCTCAAGCAGTTCTCCTGCCTCAGCCTCCCGAGTAGCTGGGACTACAGGCGAGCACCACCACACCTGGTGAACTTTTTGTATTTTTAGTAGAGATGGGGTTTCACCACGTTGGCCAGGTGGGTCTTGAATTCCTGACCTCAGGTGATCCACCTGCCTAGGCCTCCCAAAGTGCTGGGATTACAGGCATGAGCCACCACGCCTAGCAAGAGTCTGCTTTGTCTGTCTTAAGATGTGTGTTTTGAGGCTAATGCTGGTCAGCTGAGCCTGAACTCTCAAGGACAAAGGCATCATGAGTCATGTCTGACCCCTTCTTGGCCATTGTGGGGTGAAGTAAGTTTTTAGGTTTCTTTAGAATCCCCTTAACTGAGAAGGGGGGCCAATTCAGCCAGCTAAAGAGCTTAGCGTTTTATTCGTGGTTCACACGGAGAACCTGCAAGTCAGCGGCTCCCGGTGTGTGTCCACCTCCAGACACTGGCCTCGGTCCAGTCCTCCTCCCTCTTCCCTGCTTTTTTCCTGTCTCACCCTGTGGAGTTACCACTGCACAGCAAACTCCTCCAAGCCCCCAGCCATCAGCCCTCCACCGACCTCCCCCTTGGTCTTCCCCAGCTCCATTCACCTGGATGCAACCCAGGGTTTACCTCGCTTGGATCAAACTAAACCATTTCTCTCTCTCCTCCTCCACACTTGGCTCTTCCTCTTCAGCAAAGGTGTCGGACACTCTGACTTTTGGGGATTGAGTTTCTCCGGCTCCCCCCATTCCACCTGTCTTCCTTGGATTGTCTCCACTGCCTGAGAGGGAAGGACACACCCACCTCTTCCTCCTCCATCATTTCCTCACCTGCTCTTGCTAGACTTCAACCTCTTTCCATTTCTCTTTGCAACCATGTTCCCTTGTGGGGCTGGTTGGCAGCGCGTGTGTTAGAGAAACCTGGCGGGGAGTTTAGGTTGCCCTGCCCAGAAGCCATGAGAGGTAACTGGGAGGTGATCAATGTGAAGGGTGGAAGACCCTGAAGCAATTTGGACAGAGACCCTATGGCGATGCCCAGAGATACCCTGTTCCCTACGAAACGGTATTTATTTATAGGATGGCCAAGATGACGTAAGGCTTATAAACCCACGTGGAGAGGGATTGGTAGGAAACAGGAAAACATGGAAGGAAGGGCTTTCCATTGTTAATGCCTATTCTTGTTACAACGCTCCTTGCACAAAAAGAAATACAAGGTTTAGCTCATTTGCCGCCTGGCTGTCATTCTGTGGCTAGGGGCATTGTTCTCTCACATATCAGCACTGAGCGGCTTGGCATTGGTGGGTTGCTTTGTTTGTTTTTTTGTAAATACTAACCTTAGGCTTGTCAGAGGATAACCCAGAAAATTGGCACTAATGCCAAAAACCATAATGGCAGGAAGAGTGTGGAATCCACAGCTACAACTGGCCCCATGTCTGCAGGGAAGCAGGATGGGACACCTCCGTCATGGTGAAGCCCTCTGCGTGGAGATGCCCCATGTCTGCAGGGAAGCAGGACGGGACACCTCCGTCATGGTGAAGCCCTCTGCGTGGAGATAAGTCCCATGTCTGCAGGGAAGCAGGACGGGACGCCTCCGTCACGGTGAAGCCCTCTGCGTGGAGATAAGTCCCAAGCCACCACTTTCAGCATCAAACCCTTGAAGCATTTTCCCGGGAATCTTTTTTTTTTTTTTTTTTTAATGGATTACCCACTTCTCTGACCTCTTCAGAGAACCACACTGAACAGTATTGTTTTCTCTGCAAACTCAAGGTCATCAACATGAACATCGTGCTCTCTTGAGCTGAGATGGGCCGCAGTGAGGATCCCGACACTCGACGGGTGGGGGTTGCAGGAAATGTCAGAGACTATGCGTCAAAATGAGAGGTTTGTAAATTCTTTTTTCTGAAACAGTGCAGCCAAGCACTGATGTTCATTGAAGCTGGGTGTTAGGCACACAGAGGTTTCTGGCAATCTCTACTTTTATGTAAGTAGAGGATGGAAATTATATGTGGAAATTTCCCCCGTAGAATCTTGAAAATTGTTTCTCTGGTTTTGTACAGTTTTTCCTGTCTTCTAAGAAAAATCCTGGTATCGGGCTGGACAGATGACATTCCCTGCTGTTTCCAGCATGCCCACCTCTAACCTGCTGCTTCTCATCAACTAGGGTCCCAGAGTCTAGCAGCTTCTAAGCTCCTAAGGTCCCAGGCTCTGCCCGAAGGAAGGGTGGGACGCTTCTTACCACAGATGCTTGGCGATGTCTGCTCCCACGGCGTTTCCTAGTTCCAGATGGGTGAAGTGTTCTTAAATTCCCTTCTTCACCCTAGGAGGGAGGGAAAGAGGAGAGAGTAAAGTCAGCAGGGACCTAAATGTCCTAGAAAAAAAAATGCATGTGGCTATGGATGGAGAAAGGCTTTTAGTTATGAGTGAAAACCCAGATGCAATTAAACAAGAGTTACAAAGACAAATGGCAACTGGAGGGAGACTGTGTACAACATACATCAAAGGTAATGGACCAATATCCCTGATAAGACATGTAGAAACATGTTTTATCTTTTATAAAGAACATGTAGAAACACACAGGGGAAAAGATACACAAATCTAGTGGAAAAATGGGCAAAGGCATAAATAGATCATTCAAGACAGAATAAATGGCTCTAGGTCATATTAAAAGATAATCACCTTATACAGAAGAAGCAGGATTTAAAAAAAAAAAAGAAAAGAAATGTTCACTTTCACTCACAATTGAATAAAGGAGAGCAGTTACCATTTCTCACCTGTTGGACTGGCAGAAAAAAGAGTCAAAAGCTTGGTAATACATCTCCTGGTGAGGCTGTGGGGTAATATATTCACACGGCGGTTAATGGGGATGCAAGATACAATATCCTTCCAAAGGAGAGTTTGGCACATCTCACAGCCCTGTATACCCACTTACCCTTTGACTCAACAATTTTCTCCCTAGGTTTTTACTTCAAAGATATGCCCCACTGTGCAGAAATACCTGTATGTAAAGTCCCCCAGCCTGGCACCATGGCTCATGCCTGCAATGTCAGCACTTTGGGAAGCTGAATAGGATGGATCACTTGAGGTCAGGAGTTGGAGACCCGTCTCTACTAAAAAAAATACAAAAATTAGCCAGGCATCGTGGTGGGTGCCTGTCATCCCTGCTACTCAAGAGGCTGAGGCAGGAGAATCGCTTGAACCCAGGAGGTGGAAGTTGCAGTGAGCAGAGATCACACTGCTGCACCCCTGCCTGGGTGACAGAGTGAGACTCCATCTCAAATAAACAAACAAATAAAGTTATCCAGTATAGCAGGGGTTTTTTTATAGTTAAAAAATATTGAATGCCCACACACGGGAAATGTGCTGAATTAACGGTGGCACAGAGTGGGGTACCACGCAGCTGTGGAAAGAGAAAGATTGCCGTGAACTCACATGGTATGTCAAGACACCACGTTAAATGATGCAAGCAAAGCGCACAGAAGTACGTATGCAATGTTAATTATTGTTTAAGGAAAGAAAGGATATAAGTACATATACTTATTCCTACAAAAATAAACCGAAATAAACCAGAAACGAAATAGGTTTCCTATTCAAGGGTTGGAATGGCCTGGGTGGGATGGGAAAAGATCAGCACTTCTCTGAGTATATCCTAGCTCTTCTGTATAGTATTTACTCTTGGAAGCAAGTTAATGTTTTACATATTCAGAAAATTTAAGTCAACAACTGTAGAAAGTAAAAAGTTCCTCTTCAAAGTTTCCCTTCTTGTTAAAGAATAAATAATAAATGCTAGAAATAATAGTTTTCTATTAAAGACTAACTTTCTTCAAAGCCTTCTTGCTTTTTGCTTATAATTCTTTGTTAAGCCCTACCCTATGCAGCTGTTAGATAAAAAAGGAATAAGTGCATTCTATGTCCTTGTACTTTTACCAAGATGCTTGTGCTGGACGTGCTCACAGGGATGGCCCAGCTCGCAGTCTAGGCCCCTTCCTTATTTAAGAATGTTATTACTTTTCTAAGTCCTTTCACAAGTAATGTCCTCTTTTCCTTTGTTCTCCACTGCCTTTACCTATTTTGGAAAGTTTTAAGTTGTTAGCCTAGTTTTAAGGGTCTAGCCTAGACTGTGAGGTCCAGCTCAACCCAACTGAGGCAGGACATAGCAGTAAGGACCCGATGAGTATGGAATAAATATTCCTGCCTTTCCTTTGTTCAGTGTGCTCCCGTGGCAGGGTTGCTGGTGGGTGGCACCATTGCTGCAGAAGGTAAAAGTGCCTTGCTGAGAAAGCATTTTGTCTGAATGCTGATTTTTCCTTATGGTACCTAGGAACGAACATTCTGTCTCTAACAAATGGTGGCCTGTATGGGGACCCATTTTCCTCTGGGGGTGGTCTTTGGTTCTCTCTTGTGAGGAGGCATATTCTGCTGCCTCGCTGAGGCGACCTCAGGAGTAAGGAATCAGAACCCACCTGATGTGAGGAATAAACCCAGACTCTCAGCAATGCGGGGAAAAGGCTTGCAGCGTTGTGATGACCAGGCAACTTTGTGCACAGACCAAGGTAGCAAACATCAAGAGGGTGTGACAAAGTCCTTCCTTGGTGGCCAAAAATCTGGAGGTCGCGTGAGTGTGGGAGTGCTTTTGTGGCAAGATTGCTGGTGGACAGCACCCTTTCTGAAGAAAGTAAAATTGCCTTGCTGAGAAAACTTTTTGTCTGAATGGTAATTTTTTCTTGTGGTACCTAGGAGCAAGCATTCTGTCTCTAACGACAAGGAAGGGAGGGAGAAACATAAAGCTGTAGACACAGAGAAGCAAATGAACCCAGCTGCATCTCAGAGGGCTGACACAACTGCGGTAATTCCAAAAGATAGCTGTGCCCACAGCCCCATCCCACTAACTCTTCTGCAACAAGACCTTGGTATACTCTTATCGAAAGGTGGCATTGAGAGAACGTGTTCTCTTTCTGGGTCTGCAAGGGGGTGTAGTTTTAAGGGCAAGAACTTCCCAGTGCCATGCCCACCTACCATCTCTCTCCATCTGGGAGACTTAATGGTTTCTGTTTTAATTTTTCCAGGTGTGGGAAAGGGTCAAAAGTCAATCACTCCAGCAGAAGTTTAAGGGAACTCTTTCATTGACCAGGGGTTTTGGAGAAGGTGGGAATTCCTCCCAGGTTAGAAGTCCCCTTCTTCCACACCCCTTTGGGACTCCATGTTTGGACCCCCTTCCATGAACACTCCCTTGGTGGAAGCTGTCTTTCTCTCTCCTGGATTTCCCCTCTGGGATCCCCTTCCACACACTCTCTCCCTCATGGAAGCTTTCTCTCTTCCTCTCCTTTATCTCTCTCTACCTAAATAAATCACTTTCTGCAAACACTGTTTTGGGGTCTGGTATTTACTTTAAGTGCACTGTGCCATGGTCTCTTCTTCCATTCGTGGGTGACTGATAGACCGATAACCTGAAGAAATGTCCTCTCAGGGGAACTGAGGGCTCCCCTGAACCCCAACATCACAGCATCTCTTTCTTCTTTCCCTCAACTTGAGGAATTCCCTGTGCCTGCTTGGATAAATGGAATATGGTGGAAGTGATTTGGGGCCAGCCTCAGGAACATGCCTTCCCTGGCCCAGCAGCTTTGACTCCCTCTCTTGAAGTCTTGAGATTCTGTATAAGAAGTCCAGGGCCGGGCGCGGTGGCTCACGCCTGTAATCCCAGCACTTTGGGAGGCCAAGGTGGGTGGATCACGAGGTCAAGAGATCGAGACCATCCTGGTCAACATGGTGAAACCCCGTCTCTACTAAAAATACAAAAAAATTAGCTGGGCATGGTGGCGCGTGCTTGTAATCCCGCTACTCAGGAGGCTGAGGCAGGAGAATTGCCTGAACCCAGGAGGTGGAGGTTGCAGTGAGCCGAGATCGTGCCATTGCACTCTAGCCTGGGTAACAAGAGTGAAACTCCGTCTCAAAAAAAAAAAAAAAAAAAAAAGAAGTCCAGGCTCCTCTGCTGGAAAGGGAGCCGTGGAGGGGGCGCTGAGGCCCCAAAGTGTGATGAAGCCATCTCAGACTTCCATGCAGGCCAAGTCATTGCCTGACTTCACACTATCTGCTGTACCCAATTGAGACGCCCCAAACAAGAACCATCCAGCTGAACACAGTCAACCACAAAACTGTGAGGAGAAGGAAATGTTTTCACACCTCTAAGTGTTGTCTGGTATGTTACAAGGCAACAGATGATCAGAACAGTAACCACATAGAAGGGGAAAAAACATATTAAAGTAACATTTGAGGATAACCTCAGTCTAGAGAGAAAAAACATCTTTTTGCTGGGCATAAATCTTGAACGTTACTCAGTATGGTTATTTTTGAAACTATTTTGTGTGTGTGCTATGATTGTGTAAATGAATAGTTATAGAGATGCTGTAGGAAAAGGAGAAACAAATGTGGAATAGTGGAAGGCAAGTCAAGACTCTTCAGCATTAGGCTAGTCTGAGAACAGTTAGGATGATCTCATAGCCAGGTTACCTACATAAATATGAATGCCACGCCCAAAACTCGAAAATGTTTGTGTGTGGTATTCATATTTACAGAGGTATCCTGGCTGTGTCCATGGAAAGTGCTCTGAAACAGTGACACCCATCAACAGTGAGCACACTAGTGGCCAGACATGGTCCCTAAATCCCATTCTTCACTAAGAAAGCAGAGTTCTTTGGAGAAGCAATTGAGTCCAGGACCAAAGGAAGAAAGGGAAACCTAGAATGTCTTGTTTCTGCCACAAAGTTAACACATGCTCAAAATATGATAGAAGCATATGAAAAGGAAGGGGCCAAACCAAAGGCAATTTGAGCATCAAGATGAATAGTAAGACCAATGGGCTAGAATGCATTAAATTTGTTAAAAGGAGAGGGAGACCATGTGTCCATATTAATTTTAGAAAGGAACAGAAGAGAAGGAAACGTCTTCCACTGTAAGTAGAATATCAACTAATCAATGTGGAAGGAATGATAACAGTTAGAAAATAATACATTTTGCAACCAATACAGTAATAAATGATTCATGCAAGACTCACCAACAGAAGCTAACACCAGTGAGTCAAAGTATATTAGGAAACAGTTTGTCTCCACAGTTTAAAGTACCCCTCACAGATGATTTAACAACTACTAGGGGAAAAATTATGTTGACAGTGGAGGACTCTGCAACAACACTGTAACCAGTGGTCAAACTCACATCTCTAGCCATGGGACAAAGTGACTTTGTGTGCCTCCTGATATGGTACACGAAGAAGAACACATCAGTTGTTTTGTGTCCTTGCCAAAAATGCAACCATAAGTCGAATCATAAGGAAACCATAAGACAATCCCAAATGGAGAGATACTGTACCAAACAAGGAGGCCGTACTCTTCAAAAATGTCATAAAACACAAAGGACACACAATATTCATGACAGCATTATTCACAACAGCTGAAAGGTGGAAACAACCCAAGTTTCCATTGACAGATAAATGGATAAAATCTGGTATACACCCATAATGTTGTATTTTTCAGCCTTAAAACGGAAAGAAACTCTGACATATGCCACAACACGGATGAACCCTGAGGACATTATATGAGTAAAATAAGCCAATCACAAAAGATTGTATGATTCCATTTTAATGAGGTACCTACAGTTGTCAAAGTCCTAGAGACAGAAAGTGCAATGGTGGTTGCCAGAGGCTGGGGAGAGGAGAAATGGGGAGTTACTGTCTGACAGGTACAGAGGTTCTGTTTGAGAAAATGAGAAAGTTCTGGAGATGGAAGGAGGTGATGGTTGCTTGATTGCTTGGCAATGTGAACAGACATGATTAACACTGCTGGAATGTACATGGTTAAGATGGCGAATGTTAAATTATGTGTTTTTACCATCACTAAAGAAAATTCTTCAACGAGTCAAAAGGAAGCTCAAGAAGATTAATAGACATGACAAACAAAAGCATTGTGCAATCCTGCATTGGGGGCTGGGGGTGGGGATGCTACTAAGGGCGTTATGAGGACAGTGGGCAAGATTGGGTTATGAACTGCGTTTTTGATAATAGCATTATAACGATGTTTCATTTCCTGAATTTCATAACTTTATGTGCCATGCTGGAGAATGCAGTATTTTTAGGAGTTGTGCACTGAACTTTCAGAGTTTAAAGGTGATCAAGTCTGTGACTTACTTTTGTATGCTCTAGCAAAAAATAGTAAGTGTGTATACATATATTCACAGAACACAAACATGGCAAAAATGGTAACAACTGCTGAAGCTAAATGAATAGTAACAACTTGTTTGCTGTATTTTTCTTGCAAATTTTGTATAGGTTTGAAATTTTTTCAAATAAAAAGTTGAAGCAAAAAACAAATCAAAAAAGAAAGAGAGGGAAAAAAGGGAGGAGGGAGAGAGGATGGAAAATGGGGCACCCCTGGGAAGCACCTCCTCTGTGCTGTGCTGGGTGGGAGCACCTCCTCTGTGCTGTGCTGGGTGGGAGCACCTCCCCTCCTCTGTGCCGTGCTGGGTGGGAGCACCTCCTCTGTGCCGTGCTGAGGTGGGAGCACCTCCTCTGTGCCGTGCTGAGGTGGGAGCACCTCCTCTGTGCTGTGCTGGGGTGGGAGCAGCTCCTCTGTGCTGTGCTGCGTGGGAGCACCTCCTCTGTGCTGTGCTGGGTGGGAGCATCTCCTCTGTGCTGTGCTGGGTGGGAGCACCTCCCCTCCTCTGTGCTGTGCTGGGTGGGAGCACCTCCTCTGTGGTGTGCTGTATGGGAGCACCTCCTCTGTGCCGTGC